TAAAGGCTTGGACTGAGTTCTGCTGCAAAAACAAACGTAACTTTTGACGTACCTGTCTCCACAGGAGAGCCTCGTGCAGTGGAACAGGACAGCTTTAAAAGGCACCGCTATTTCAGGAGGGGGCATTTCAGTTACACTCACTATTTTTTAATGTTACCGTAATGACATGAAGGGACCTCCAGAATTCGGAACCAGTAAGATGTTTCTTTAGGACATAAACTTTCAGAGGGTAAGCAACAACCATCACCCAGTGTTACTGTCAAAGAGACGTACTGACGCTAGCATAAGGTACAAAAGCAGTAGAGACAGAATAGTGACCTCTCTCTGCCCTGTGTTACAAGGTGGTTGATATCACTGCTGTGCCGCCTGTCGCTTCTGGCTGCTACTTTACCTTCAACTTCAGAGAGCCAGGCCTTGGGGGGGGAAGAAAAAAAAAACAAATATTGGTGTCAAAGAAAACTTGATTCTAAACCAGCAAATACCACTTAACTGCATACAGTTTCCCGCAGAGACTGTGTTCACATGTGAAGCCTCATCATCACTATACGTGGAGCGTGAACCCATCCCTCGTGCTTAGCCTAAATTCCTTACTAGTCTTAAGGAAAAAAATAATCTTTAACCACATGTGAATTTCAGATTAGGTGATTAATAAGAAATTCTAAACAGTTTACATCTTTAAGAACGTACATCCTTACTCTAGCTAGATGAACGCACCTGAAAATGTGGCACCCCACAAAAAATTGTACCAGGATTTCTTAAGTCAAGCAGTTTTTCTGGGTGCTGTATTTATAACCCATAAAGCAAACTACCATTTTACCTCTCAGTTACATTTTCCAAGGAACTGCTTTAGAGTCTAACCTCATTCTTGTGTATTTCCATCCGAAGACGGTCCATGTTGCTCATGGTCTCAGTTAATTTTGGTTGCAGACTGCCTGGATCACCCATCTGGGGATTTTTTTCATAAACATCCTTCATCTTGATGAGGGCATCTCTAAATACGAAACCCAACAATAGTTATAAAAATTACATACATCAGTACTGACGGGACATGGTTTAGTGGGCATGGTGGTTTGGGGTTGGCGGTTGGACTTGATGATCTTAGAGGTCTTTTCCAACCTTAATGATTCTCTGACTTTGCGATAAGCTAAAATTACGTGTATGACATCCTGACCCATGACGGGATACTAAGCACAGACACGAGGAACTGCTGCTCCCCACACCACACCTAAATCCTTCTCCCATTCTGTCACCTTAGCACTTGTGTCGTGCACGAGCACACAAGGGCTCCAGCTCTGGACTCTCCTCTCTCCAGACTCAATACCATTTTCTGTACTGTTTGTTACACACAATCTCCTAAATACTGACAACCTTCTTTTCCTAAAGCACTAAGTCGCAGCTCTCTCGCTCACAGACCTACGCACTGATCTTTGTCTTTAATGCTTTTAGATCCAGTGTTTCCTATGCAACGTTAGGATCGCAACGTCTATTACAGTAAAGCAGGAGGAGGCGATGCCGACAGAACCCACATAGAGTAAACCATGAACCAAAAAACGCTTTGCAATAGCCCGGCCTAGTGTGTTCTCTCCTAACTTCTGAGCACGGAGGCTTAGGTGGAGGACTTCAAAAGAAACAGAGAGCGCGACAGGAAAAAACTCCAAAAAAATGCATTCACTTTTGGTCTGTTTCCTTCTGTAGTTCTCTGTTAAGTTCATCGATTCTCTGTTGCAGTTTCTTGCGTCTCTGTTCCGGAGGGAGATGGCTGAAGTCTTCTAGTGCAGGGCCCTGCAAGTAGAAACCCTGTTAAACAAGTGACGCGCGCGTACCGGGACAGCTGAACTGACATACCCACACACGGACAGTGTTCACTGGAAGCAGGATGGACCTTCTTAAAAACTCTACTCGACACACAGCTCTATAAACGACCGCAACAGAATAAATGCAAGTTCTTGCTGCCAGACGGCAGTCACTCGTTCAAGGTTCTTTCTGCCTTCTGTAACAGTTGGCTCACAGATGTAATCTAAATTCATGGACTTCATTATTTTTCTGAAAAGCTGAGCCATGTACCTCCTATTACACCCACTGCACTTAAAGGACAGAATTACTTACTACGGAGTAATTTCAGTCAGAACACAAATCTAAGATGTGTATATAATAACAGGTACATAACTGGTTCTTTCTCTGGAGTGTGTTCTGTGGCAATTTGGGTGCTACCAAAAGAAAAACATTGCATTTTGGATCTTCATTCCAAAGTACTATCACAGTTCTCTTCCGGAAGCTCAGCGATCTTGCTGGAAAACTTACAAAGTTCTGACACATTCTACCTCGAGTAAAACTGTTTCACAGAGCCCAGAAAAAGCCTCTATAACACCCAAGTTGACTTAATTTTGTTAATATGAATCAAAGCTTGAGCTCAAGTATTATGAGCCTCAACCTGCAAAGGTTTGATTGCAAACTTGTGCCGAGATTATAAACAGGATGGAAGGACTTGGGTGTGAAAAATATGGGAAGAGATTTTTACGTATCTTGAGAGTTTGTTGTGAAAACTCTTCCCCTCCGGGTGACCGACACCAACAGGGTTAACAAAGGAAATACGGTACGCGTCTTAATCACAGAAAGGTCAGTTACATTATTTGGTCCTAGTTGCCTAAGAAAGTTGGTTTTAGCACAAGAAACCCGCTTGCCGTCACAGTACACTCCGTGGAGGCAAACCGAACTGGACAGCGTTTCTTCTGTCACGAAGAAACTTGCCCGTCGGGATTCTGACACAAGCAGCCGTAGGCTCAGGTGCCAAGTTTCTACTACTCCCTCTTAAGGTCTTCTTGCCCCTCAACTTCTTGGTTCTTTTGCACTTGTAAAATTGTAATCTCATTGCTTTTTAAGAAGGGAACACAGGACACAATAGAAGGAGGGAAATCAAGATACGCTGTTTCCAAACTAAAGCACAAGTGTTTCTTTCTGGAGGAAAAAAAAATAATTAAAATCCTTTCGGGTGGTTTTACACACCACAGGGCAACAAAAAGACAATCACATCCTCTGTATCACTCTTCCTGACAGGTCAGTTAAAACCAGAGTATCCTACAGCAACCACCAGAACAACAGAGGTCCTTCTGGGAATTTTTACTGATTTACTCTGCAAAACTACAGTAGTGATTAAGGTGGCATTTTCATTTAATGTAACAGCTTTCTAATATTCCTAAGCATAAAGGATCATCTCCCCTGCAAAAAAGGTTCAATTCAAAGGAGGGAATTTTGCAGTATTCGATGTTTCTCCTGTACACAAGTTCTGCAGTCTTTTCATGCGCCTATTGTATATTGCTTTAACGACTGTCCTGACAAAGAGAAATCGCCGAGTATTTCTGTCATGACCAACTCGTGAATACTGGTCAACCCTAAAATTCCAAAATCACCGATTCAGTTGCAGCCAGCTCACAAGTCTAATTATCTTACATTACGCATGGATGATTAGAAGACTGTGTATATGAGTGGAAAATCTGGAGATGTATTTCAGCACCTGACTTAAAGCAGTTATGATATGGAAACACTTTCAAAAGATCACTTTCATGCTATCTTAGCAGAAGTACAGCAGACAGATCAGCACACGGGCTTACCATCTTCACCGACCACTGCACAGTTCATTTGAAAACAGAAAGAAACGGGAAATTATTCACATGCAACGACCAGTTACAAAAATGATCAATGCCTAAAAATGTAGCTTTAAAATATTACTTAAGGATTAAAATTTTACTTTATAAAAAACACATTTTACTATGAGCACAAGGAAAGCAAAATACAATAATCAGAACTGCACTTCTGCTTTAAGAATTATGGATTTTAAAGATTACTAGGTCACAATGGGTAGTTTAACTTACAAAACTGTAATACACAACTTCATTAAACTACTTCTGAATTTTATTGTTTTGATTAATATACTAAAGAACTTCTATTGTGGAAGAAGAAACAAACACACAGCCAACATTGCACAAAATAGCAGAATTTGATGATGATGATGGACTGGTCAGCCATATGCAAATAATTTGTTAATTATAGCTAACAATCCACTACCGTCATTTTTACAGTGTTTTTACTTTATCATCACAGTAGAACTAGAACAAACAAAGATCTTTTTCAAGCTTAGAAGTGTAATTTTACTTCCTGCAAACAGCATTTTGGTCATTGCTGCTATTGTAGAAATGTTTTAGTCCAGATAAAAATAAAGACATTTAAAGAACGAAGACTTACTCCTATAGGAAGTAAATGAAACATGGGATGCCAGGTGTCCTATCCTGGGTTTAGTTAAACTTTCACAGCATGTTGAAGACCTATCATGCTTTCAACGACTTCGGACAATGGCCAGACAACTGAGAAGATACATATCTCCGACATCACTTACGACCCTCACCAATTGTTAAGGCTGTTGATGGGGGCTCGCACACAAAGTTACAATTTCTAGCAGTGAGGAAAGTGAAGCACCTTCACAAATGGTGTTTTGGTAGAAACCTCAATAAAGTCCAAAACCATAAAATGGCTAAAGAATAAACTTCTTGTTCCCTTTAGAAAGAGTTTTCTAAGAAAACACAAGTAAGCTTTACGTATCGCTGCTGACGATGCATCTATCATAGAATGGCAGGTTGGAAGGGACCTCAGGGATCATCTGGTCCAACCTTTCTCTGCAAGAGCACGGTCTAGACAAGCTGGCCCAGCGTCCTGCCCTGCTGAGTGTTAAAGGTGTCCAGTGCTGGGGCATCCACCATTAAACCCAGGGGGAATTAATACAATGGCTGATTGTTCTCATCATGAAAAAATTTCCTCGTGTCCCATCGGAATCTCCCCAGGAGTAACTTGTACCGGTTACCCCTTGTCTTTGCCGTGGGACTCCTTGTAAAAAGGGAATCTCCATCTTCTTTGTAGCCACCCTTTAAATAGTGGAACATTATCAAGCGGCATTGAGCAAAGACCTCTCATAAGCACTAACACTGTCTGGAAACGTTAAGGTTTCAAAGGATACCAAGCAGCCTGCAGCAGCAGCGCTACTAATGCACGTTACGCTCGCTTACGCTCAAAGCAAGTCTTCAACAACCTGTTCTGCAGCTACTGTTTGCTGCTGCTGCCGCTGTACATCACGACAGGAAAAGGTAAAGCGTGAGGCACAGAACGAGGGCAGTCTGGGTTTGTGCTCTCCAGTGCCTGCAGCGAAATCTTGCGCAGGGCACGTTAAACAAAACCACCGGTATGGCTATGGACTGATATACGCCAACTCATGGATAAATCTCGATAGAAGCCGAAGCAAATTATATACCACTTGGGAGTTCTGCACGTCAGTACTCCTTGGACATCACTTTCCAGGGACAAAACTGTGGAAAACAGCATCGTGCACTAGCAACTATTAAACATTCAACCAAGATACACTGTAAAGATAAGACTGATCAAAGAGATAAAACAATCTATTAGAATTCATTAGTATACATTCAAGTTGAGAAGGCACTCAGTATGTGATGTCTGTTAAAATGCTTGCAAGAAATTTAAAAAAAGGTATAAAAATTAAATGTTCATCCTGAAGATTTACAGAGATTAACCACTTCATATTGTGGGATATTTGAGTTAATCCAGATTTGCAGGACGCTAGCGATCCTTGCTGATTTTACAGAAGATACTTATTCTATGTTAAATTCATTCACTTTTACAACATGAACAATAAATTCTGAGAATAAAAAATTTAAATAAAAATACGGGTTTCATCTTCCATTAGCCTTCTGTAGTTGTTAGGTCATCTTTTGCTTCAGTAAGAGGTTCTAGAACTACTGATACAACAAGGTGCTGATGTGTGAGCCAGGAGTCACTACGTTTAGTGACCAACAAAAAGGAGGTGCAATCAAGACCTGTGCCATCTCAGCAGCTACCTCGTCCAGTTAGTTCCTCACTGAGTACTGAAGAAGGAACATCAACTTCATGACCAGAATGAATTTTCAGGGACTCAGAAGGGGAAAGGAGAAACTGTCCGCCATAAATACTTAGTGGACCACAAGAATTTTTCTAAAAACTGGTGGTGGTAGAAAGGGTATTTCCAAGATACCTGGGGGCCTGAAATAAGGCTTAAAGAAAATAAGTTTGAAGTGTTACTCATATTTCAGAACAGCAGCAAGGGAGCTTCCAAATCATAACTTTACTGCAATACAACACTGTCGTACTTTGAGCTCCACACTACTGAACAGTAGTCAACCACTCTTGATGCACATGACACAGCAAGTCAATATTGTTTTCAAATATCAGAAAATAATGAATTATATATAATCAAATGTATCTAATAATCTCATACTTGCATCAATAAATATCATAAAACGTACATAAACGGGGCACAGCCTATGCTTCACTGACATTAACAGGAAAGTGCCAGTACATTTATCACTAGTTCTATAAATGTTACTAGGAAACCACTTAACATTTTCCTTTTACGTCTGTCCTCCAAACAAATTGTATTTGCAGAATATGCCACTATAAATTAGTAACTGAATTGATAAATCTCAAAAGGTGGCGTTTGGTAGTAATTTTTCAATAATTTTACCCAAAAGAACCTTGGACAAACAAGAACAATTTATTAATCGGAAAATGCCTTAAAACAGTAATGTTTCAACAATCAGTATTTCAAAATCTGCAAGCACCACGTGCTATAGCATTTGATGAACAAAAGAAACAAAATGTCTCCCTTCTTCGTTCAGTGTCGTGTAATCAACTACTATTATTTCGATTAAAAGCCGGCAAATAAGACATCTGAGCTGTCAGATGTTTTTTGTGGTGACTACATACCCAAGGATAAATTACTGCAAAAATATGTTACATGATGGTAGGAAAACATTTGTGAATGTGAACAACAATGAAGAAAGGTATCAAACACATGCTGAGCACCCTCTTTATAACACCCTTCTTTTAGGCACAAGTATTTGGAATGTGATACAGAGGTTTTTTCTATTTTATTTTTTATTTTATTTTTAACCTGTTGGTAACTGCTGTATAACATGAAACCAAGCATCCTAAAGTGACCTCATGGCTGCAGTGTTACTTTTAACGAGTCTTATAATGAGGGTGAAGAGCATTAGAAAAGCCACATCACAAACACACTGTTCATAGCCCATCATGCATTTCAACTTGTTATCAAACTTACCCCTCTTTTGAGGCTTCTGAAAGAAGGAATTCTGGGCTTCCCTGTTTTTATGTCACTCATGCAATAATGCACTGGTTCAATGGAGAATATGGGATACTGGGACCCATTAGGAGTACTGGATGTGTATAAACTAGTAGGGGTTAGGGGTGGGGATTGTGGCTAATGTGGAAATAAAGAAAGCAATAAATAAGCCAAATGTTCAAAGTGATTTTAAAATGAAAATTCTGTCTTACAAAAATAAAATTTCCATCCAACACAGAAGCAGCTTGTAACGTTCCAGACACATTTACACGATAACTGTATTGGTTTAAAAAGGCTCCTGTCATGAATTCATCTTCAGAGTTACACGTTGGTGCAGAGACAGAAGGAATATTTGAAAAAGCTTTAGACTCGACACTTCCACTAGATCCCAACAAGATCCCGAAGCTGCCTGTCTCTTTTCTTAAAACAGGAAATTCTGCTTTTCCCAGCTTTAGTCACAGCCATTCTGGA